CCTCTCAGGGGTCCACAAAATCAAAATTATTTGCCAGCCTATGTTGAAAAATAATACAATATTAAAATTCTATCAAACAGCTGTGAGAAGTGATAGTGGCAGTGAGTGTATCAGTTTTAATTTTTAATATGGTAAATATCGATAAATATAACCCATAGAAACAAAAGTTCTTTTGGGGTCCTCCATAATTTTTAAAAGTGGGAAGGAGTCCTGAGAGAAAATGTTATTATTGCAGATTATAATAAATAAAAATAAATATTCTTGCTTGATTAAAAAAAAGCCTTTGTCTGTTTTCCCATTTTATTCTGTGGTTCACTCTGCACAGAAACACAAACACACATGTATACAAAATGATGCTCACAACCACATTGATCCAGCATTTCTCAGGACCAAGTTTAGGATGCTTTCTGTAGCAAATATTTTGAGGATTATTCCTTTAAAATGGCCAGAGGTTCTTCCTCCCAACCACCAGCCAAAAAAGAATCAGGAAAACCAGAACATCCATGAAAAGCATAATTGTTCCACTTGTAAAACAAAAGAGGAATAAAACTTTTCACAATGTTTAGCAGATTTTATGCTGCCCAGGGGTACCTGCAGAGTATGGTCAAAAACATCAAGATGGCTTCAACAGTGTGATTGTAGCTCCATCCATTTTTTACATGTGTTGCATGAGCAACACACATAAAAAAAATCATGGTTGCCATCTTGACTTTGACCATATCCTTCAGACAACCCTGGGGGTGACCACGTGGGAGCCATGATATTGCTGGCTTTGGAAGGGGGTATTGGTGGACTGTCATACCCTTCTCTTGTGACCCATCTCACCTTCCAATTGTCCCTCCGTGTTGGAACAGCTGGCTAGGAATTCTGGGATTTGCAGTCCTAAGGCATCAAATGGGAACAGATGGGGGAAGCTGCCAGACTCACTCCCCCAAAGATCCAGCAGTCAGTTGCAAAGAAGCAGGCACTGAGGTGCTATAAGGGGAGAGATGGATGTGGCTGACACACTTACTCATTTTTATTTATTTTACAAGGCTGATCAGCCAGTCCAGTCTAAATGACCCTATGCAGCATACAATTCCCATCTTTGTACATTCCCATCCAAAACAATTAACAACAATCCAACAAATACATAGGAAAAGCAACAAAAACAAACATGAAAAGAATCAGGATTGCCCTACAAATTAAAGCCCCCTCACAACATTCCAATCCCCACGGTCTCATTAACAGATTTTGCAAAGCCAGGAGGGAAAGGGTTAACTGGATATCCAGGGAGATGCTATTACGGGGGGGGGGGGGGGGGTCACAACTGAAAAGAAGACAGGCCATTCCTGCCAACAATGATGATCTGATCATATGGAGAACCTCAGAGATGACTTTGGGGAAACTATGTGATGGCAGTTAGCAAAACATGATTTAAGCCCAGGGCAGGAAGAGAACATTGGAAAGAAATTTAAACTGACTCCACCTTAACTCTCTTGGGTATAAGAGGGAGGGAGGGAAAATGCTATCAAGCTTTCAAGCTTCTGTTACTACAACCTATATCAATAAAGTAGAGTTCCAGTCAAATCTGTGGAATCTGTTTCCTGACCTGGCCTACTTCAAAGGTCTGACAGATCAGAGGGTGAGAAAACAATTCAGTATAAGGGCCCATTGGGGATCCTGGGGCCTCATAATAGTCCTAAAGACAATGATTCTAGCGTTGGCCTCGTGGGGAAGCCTACTGAACTGGCAGAACAAGATTCTAATGGCCTCTAAAAAGCCCCAAGCTTCTAGCCCTCATTGCATCCAAGATAACACTAGAAGTTTATGCTGCTTTTCTGCTTCTCATCCAGCTTTCCAAAGAGTCCTTCCTACCATCGAAGATTTCCTTGGTGAGCGTTCCCTGTGATTCATTCAAGTTATTTACTTTTTTCACAGTATAAATAGCTATGACTGTCCTGCTGTCCCAGGTAGCCAAAGAGGGGGAGAGAGGGAGATTCTTCAAACAAATGAAGAAATTGGAGTTGTAAGGACATCCACTCTGCAGTTCATCATCCCTTCAGAAAGGCTGAAGCTGGCAAGAGGCGATGGGCACATGAGTGGCATGTGCACCTTCTATCCATTTTCATGGGCTCCATCGCTATGCCGGTGTAATATTTTCCTCCAACTTCTCTTCCTTCTTGTCAGCAATGCTGTAGTAATACGTGCGGATCAGTGTCTCCACGGCAGCAAAGTTTGGGCGGTCTGCACATCTGGGGGGCAGGAAAGTAGACAGGTCAGAAATAAGGGGAGAAAAATCTCATCTGAATTACACGCACACAGAGTTACAAAGTTCCCTCTCCAGTGAAATCTCATCTCCAGCATGGGGGTGTCTGCAAGGTATGGTCAAAAAGTCAAGATGGCAGTTGCAACAGTCCAACCCCCATGCCGGGAACACTTCCAGGTTTCAAGGCTTTGCAAAATCATGGGGAGAATCATGTTCCAAAACACAGGCATTGCAAAACAAAAGCATGTTTTCTGGGTCTGGAAAGATTATCTTCCTTGACCAACAGACCCTCAGCATGCCTCTGCTGCCAAACTGAAAGGGGAGAGTGGAGACAATTGGGGAGAGGTGGTCCCGCCTTACTTGTAAGTCCAACATAGATTCATCAGCTTGTACATCTCCGGTGGACAGCTTGGTGGACATTCCATGCGCTTCCCTTCTTCAATGAATGCCATGACTTCGGGTCCTTTCATTCTCTAGAAGGGGAGAAAGAGATGGGTGATAAAGCTGAACATCTCTCCATTTTGGTAAAACATCAGAGTGTCAGCCCCACTAAGTAGATCAGACCATGATCTGAAATCAACTGTACAGGAAAGCTAAAACTACTTTGACTGAGACTGGGTATAATAAGAGTCTTACAAGTCTGATTGTGCTGCACCTCCTCCCCTTCTTATACTCATGTGAATTAGGGAGCTGTCTGTCTGAGCCACTTCCAAATTTTTTTCTGGCTGTTGTGGACTTTAAAAAATGCTTTAGCTCCTTTTGCCTATGCAAATTCTTACATATTTCCATCGAAGTCATCTTCCTTACTCTCTACACAGAGTGACAAAACCCAAAACTATGGGACAACCAGAGGGCACCTACCCTCTTGGCCTTCCAGAAGGCTATGAAAACCTAGCTCTTCCCCCAGGCGCTGGGCCAGGATGGGAGTTGAGCCCAGCACATGTGTATCTGGTGTAAACTGTTATGGTGCCTTGGTTAGAACCCATTGGGTTTTTTTTGGGGGGGGGGTTATATTTCTTAATATGTTACATGCGTTTGATGTTGTTAGCCACCCAGGGTTATATTGTGTAAGGTAGGCATCTTTAAAATAAACACACAAACCCAAGTGTCCAATTCAGCTTCCTACTTCCTAGGTATCTTTGGAGGTATCAGAACACTTGGCGATACCTCCCTTGGTGCTCACCAGATTCCCTGCCCCACCTGATTTTATTATCTAAAGATTATTTTAATGTTTAAAAATAATTAAGTGGAAGCTAATATGCTACAGAGCAAGTTTTATATTCAAGTAAAATCTCTATTTCCGCCATCACATCTGAGCCCATAGAGATCTCAAAGGTGTTCTTAGAAAATAAAATGGTGAAACCAGGTGCTTTGTCTGAAAAGGTGCCTTGTGTTTAACCAACACTTTTCCCCCTTCCTATCTGGAGCAGACACTTAATTCCCAAGCTTCACATGAGGAAAATAATTTTTGCTGAACCCTGTATCCGAAAATCTGGAGCCAACTGCTCACACCTAGAAGCATGTTCCAGTTCAGGGGTATCCATGGGAGAGGCCAAAAAACTCAAAATTTATTTATTATCTGTTAAGAAAACCAACATAAAGCAACAAAAATACAATTAAAAACAAACAATAAAAACAAAATACAAAAGCCATTTAAGATGGCCTCACAACCACACAATTGCAACCCCATCCATTAGAATTGTGTGGTCACGGCCATCATCTTAACTTTTTTAAGCCCACCCTGGTGGGTGCCCCAATTATTTATTTCATGTATATTCACCTTATAGGGTTTCTGACCGTAAGTAAAGGCTTCCCACATAGTCACCCCATAGCTCCAGACATCGCTCTTGCTCGAAAACTTCCGAAACAGGATGCATTCAGGTGCATACCACTTCAACGGCCACTTCCCAGTGGTCTTGGCCTGTGGGCAAGGACAGAATGGGGACAGCTCCAGGTGAAAACTCTTTGGACAAGCTGAATGATGTGAGAAGACCAAGTACAAGCACCTGTTTGTCTCTCCTAAAGTACACAATGACTGGGGGGAAATTGACACCAAGTCTCCTTTGCAACCCTCGAAGTTCTCCTAAATTCTAGATACCTGTTGGAGCACCTCTTCTCTTAAAGGTCATAAAAGACATCCATCACAGATTTCTATCTAGGCGGGCTTTTGATATTCAACAGAACAGACTCTGCTGTGGCAGCCACGCAGATAGGAGCACTTAACAGAGTTTACCAATTCATTCATTCATTTGTTTGTTTATGTATGTGATGTATATCACCACCCATCTCTCACAAGTGACTCTGGGCAGCTTACAGAGATTAAAACAGAAAAAAACCACCACATATAACCCCTGCACCCAAGGATAAACAATAACCCCACTCAGTGTCCTCCTTTCTATAATTAAAAGTTCAAACAGGAAAACTGCTCATGAAAGATGCTTCTGAAAAAAGACTCACACATTTCTTAAGGATCCATGTATAATGGAATATTTATATTAAAAAGAAAAGAGCTGACATGTGTTAGAGGAAACTGTATGAAAACATGCTGATTTTTCTAGATTTTATGTTTTTTATTTCAAATTCAACAAATCAGAATATTTCCCTGGTAATGCAGACAAAACAAATAAACAAACTGGATTTTAAATTGATCTGCCTCCTGGGATTTAAGTCTGTAATAGCCTTTCTCCAAATATTCTTCTTAGGAATGACATGTTATGAATTCTCAAAACAGAAGGGCTTTTCTGTAGTGGCACCCTCAACTTTGTTGGGGCTCAGTTAGGAGTTGATCAACTCTTTCTCATGCCAGATTAAGACCTTTCCATTTGTCTAGCGGTTGCAGAGGAAATTTCACCTTTTCCCTCTGTTTTCTTCTGTTTTTCCTGTTCCAGTATCTTTTTTTTTTACTTTTTTTTCTCTCCCTTTGTAACTATATTTTCTAAAACTAGGCAGTTCTTTGGAAATATTTTGTATGCTGCTCAGAGTTGGCAGATTGGAATGGCCTATACATCCTGTAAATAAATAAAAATAAATAATACATTTGGAAAAGGCAAGTCAGAATGGGCAGGAGCAGGAATGTAGCATCTGTCTGCAATTCTTTAAAGTACCTATGTATTTTCCAGGATCATGGTTCTGTCCTTGGCAATTGCTGTGTGATCCCAAGAAAAGACACAGCTGCTTTAAGAAGCTGTAAGCAGTTGCTATGTTCATATTACTCTAAGATCCAAAGATTCATTGCATGGCTCTAATTTTTGTTATGATTGTTTTTTTTACTGTGGTTTTTATGTATCCAGGAAGTGCTAACTGGGAATGCTTGCATTAAAATAAGACTATAATAATCCTTCCCACCCTCCATATTCTTCCAACAAATGCTCTCTGAAATGCCTGCAGGGCTGATTTCCCATATTGTCTTCTCGCTCACCATATAATAGCTGTCATCAGCTGCCAAAGCTTTGGAAAGCCCAAAATCGCTGATCTTAGCATAATGCTGGTTGACAAGCAACACATTTCGAGCAGCCAAGTCCCGGTGGACAAAGTTCTTTTCTTCCAGATACTTCATTCCAATCGCTACCTGATGCATCAGTTCAACCACATTATTCACAGGAACTTCATCCCTAAGGGAAAACGAAAGGAGAAAAAGTTGACATCAGCATTCCCTTACTTGATGTCCTCCTCATGTACTGGAAGAACTTCAGCTCCCCATATGGCGACTGGTAAGCATTCTAGGAGTTATAGACCAAATAGATCTGGAGGATTCCAGATTAGGGAACTTTTATCTTAAAAGCACCACATAACCCCGCCAACACTGATTTATGAGGCAGTGAAGAACAGGAAGGCCTGGCGCAATATGGTTCATGGGGTCACGAAGAGTCGGACACGACTTAACGACTGAACAACAACAACAAAATATCCCACTTTTATTTTTCCAATAAATATTTATTTATTAGATTTATATCCCATCTTTATTTTTTACAACTCACCCAGGGAGCCTCTATGACTGAGAGGGGACTAGAACCTAGACCTCCCTGCTCTTAGGCCAACATCTTCACTATTAGACTATCCTGATTCTGGGGCTGAAAGCCTTAGTCTCCCAGGGAGCTTCTCTAGCTAAAAAGAGACTAGAACCTGGGTCTCCCCACTCCTAATCCACCACCTTCTCCACTGCACCTGATTGGCTCTTGGGCTGAGAGGGAGGGACTGGCCCAAAGTGTCCCAGGGACTTTCCATGCTTAAGGGAGGACTAGAACTCACAGTCTCCTGCTTTCTAGTTCAGCACCTTCAGTGCTACACCAAAGTGGCTCTCATTTGTGAACATTTCACAATCAGTTCTTCCCCATACACCAACTTATTAGGGTACTACTCTCCATAAGTTGGCACTAAACTGTCACAGAAGGCTTGTTGTTGTTAGATTCAGTACAACAATGCACTAAGCCAAATTGGGGGGAAACTCACAGCTCCATTGGCATAATATGTTTGGTTTAACATATTAAATCTGGATTAGAGAGGGTTTGGGTTTTTTGTTTGCTTATTTGCTGTGGTGATATGTTTTTTTTTTTTAGGTTTTTTTAAGGCTTCTTGAATTGTATGAATTCAAGCCACTTGGTAGTTTGTGGCTTAACCAGTTGTATAAACCCAGAAAATGGGTTAATTCAGTAAGTAGGCTAAGCAGGCAGTGTGAAATAGATCTTCAAAGACCCCTTCCAGAATATATGATTTTGTGATTATCTCAGCGACACTGTACTGATGGAACATAAATGGCTCTAAGACCACATCCTGGAAAGGTACAGATTTCCTGCATCAGGTGATGGCATCAACTCACTTCTTGGAAGACAAGAACTTGTGCAGAGGGCCACCTGATGCCATCTCCATCACGAGCATGAGGGCTTCCGCATGACAGACTCCAATGAGACGGACAATGTAAGGATTGTCAAGCTGGTGCATAATCTGGGCCTCCTTCATCATTTCATCCTGCTGCGCCACCCCGTTGCCCTGTTTTAGCACTTTGATGGCTACATCAATTTGCTTCCTGGAAGGGAGAGAAGATGAGAAGATGGAAATGCCACACATGATGGTAAAAGTGGGCAACAGCTGATGTTAGGAGTCTGAACTCATTTCAAAATGAATATGACTCCAACCAAATGGGACTCATCATCCAGTTGTTCTCTTTCTTTCTAGGAACACCAGCTGTTTCAGGCAGCCACCCCCCTGGTGAGCACCGTTTTATTTTCCAAGCTTGCCCTGAAACAAAGCATCCCCATGGCATTCTGGGAAAAAAAATGGCAGCCATCAGAAAACAGCTGCCAATATAGCCCTCTTGTCTCGGTCAAAGGTATAAATAAGCAAAAGTAACAACAAAAATGTCCATGAAAGAGAATGAATGTTACGTACTTTTGAAAAAACAATCAAGGAAAAAATGTGGGTTTTAAAATAGCAACCAAGAAAGGAACCTAAAAGGAAAGGAACATAATGACTGTAACACCCCTAAGTTGTTACTGTGTGTTGGGTCCCACTCTCTGTGTAGACCACTCCCATCCGCTTGAGGACTATGCCAGGCTTTCATGGCAAGTCAAGGGATACCCTCCTAACATAGGTGGGGCTATTTGCTATTTTGGAAAGGGGGACTCAGGCATGTTTAAAAAGGGAGGGCAAGAAAAGGACCATAGCTACTTTTCCCCCATCAAGATAAGGTATCCACCCCCAAAATACCTCAAAATTTCAGGTACCCCCCCCCATGAAAGAGGAACAAAATCTGATTTTTTCACGGGGAGTAACAACTTCTGAAAACTGCAGAGCCCTGTCTCAGCATACTAAGAGAAATGTATCCAAAAACAGGGCATGTACAGTACTTACTTCCTCATTCTGTAAACTCCTTTCCTGACGCACCCAAAGTTGCCCTCTCCCAGGTCCACTTCATCTATCATCAGACTGCTCCTTTTTAAGAATAGCTTCCGGTCCTTGAGCTCTTCAGGGTCACTGTATGGGCTTTCATAACAGGATGTGTCCATGGGCAAGATCCGAGTCTTCTTTCCTGCTCCTACTCCGTCCCCAAGAAAGTAAAATAACTGGGTTTCATGTCCGAAGACACCCTTCCTAATTTCATAATTCCCCCTCATATGCTCAGTTCAAGCTATCTGTGTTATTTATTTATCAAATTTGTCACCGCCCATCTCGCTGAAACAACTCTGGGCAGTTTACAGCAGAGATAAAATTCATTAAAATGCAATATAAAAACAGTCCTAATAATAAATAGCTTCCAAGAAGGATGGAGAGTTAGTAAATAATTCAAGGGAGCGTCATCAGGGGGCTAACCACCCCCAGGGATGGTCAGAGCCCATATTGCCCCATGCACACTGGCTATATTATAGACATCAGCTCCTGTAAGATTGAAGAGTAAGCCTATCAATAATTATTTTTCATTGAAACTGAACAGAATCTTTGTTAACTATGGCAATGTTCTTCTGATCACCAACTGGTGGGATTAAACAACAGAGGAAAATTATGCTCTTCATGCCACTCTAAGAAGCATCTTGCAAGCATCTAGCTGACCATGGTGGAAATAGTAGGTGAACAAAATTGGGTATTGGTACAATCTGTTGAGTTTACTTAGATCTTTGCTCAGCTCAATAGACACCTTGAAATATTAGAAGTTCCTCACAATTCCTGAACTTTTCAGACTAACCATTTGGCTTCCTTTCTGTTCAAGCTCTTCCCCTCACTTTCTCCAATAGCAAATTCAGGAATTTAGGTAGGGATGTGGATTACTTAAATCCATGGAAGAAAAGCCTGCCAAGGGATATGAGTTTTGAAGATGCTATAGTAGTTTTATGTTGAAGGAAGCAGACCTCCAAATATTACTTGAAGGAGAACAATAGGGGGGAAAGCTTTGTTTCCTACTTGTGAGCATCCCAAGAAGCATCTAATTGGCCACAAGGAGCATCCACGTGTGTGTGTGTGTGTGTGTGTGAAAATTTATTTGTCAAATGTCTACCCCACCACAATCTAAACAGTCTCACCAGGGCTTAAAATAAAATAAAACACAAGACGTACAATAATTTTAAAAAACCCCACAAATGTCTAAAATATCTAAAAGCAACAATTAAGACTGGCTTCATACCCCTCTTCAGAACAGTTCAACTTCTTCCAGAAGGCAAATGGAGTTAAAACTAAGCAAACCTCCAACAGGAGGCCATTCCAGAAGGCCAACCTACAACAGAAAAACAATGCTTCTGGGTTTCACCCCCTCCCACCTTGTCCTCCTGAAAATGGGGGACAACCAGCTCTTCTTGCAACACAATTGAATTGACCCAGCCCTGTTGGTTACTATGGCCAATAAGGGCCTTGCCAATCCAGCAGAACTGTTCTTACTTTTTTTTTTTTTGAGTAACAAAAGGAATGAAGCCAAAAAATCTATGAGCAACCATCTTCATCGAAAGAGTGCAATGAAAGCTGAGTTTAGTCAGTGGACACAAACTACTGAAGGTCTGTCAAAGGAGGACGCCATAATACCTAAGGAATAAAATTTAGTATCCTGGATGCTGAAGACGATATTGATAGAATAGGACATTCCTGGCTGGATGAAACCCTGAATTAAGTATGTAACATTTTATTGCAGATCCCATTGGTAAAACTAAAGGATCCAAGCTATGTGTCTACCATAGTTCCACAAGGCCACAGAAGAAGCACAGTTATAATACAGCCTGAACTTTTAGAAAGAAAAATCAAGTTTCTTTCCCTTCCCAGCAAAATTATTTTTTAAAAAGCAGGGAAGAAAGGGGTTTGTTCAAATTGTCAGCCAAAAAGAAATAATCTGTTTTATCTCCCTGACTACTTTGGCACAGATTTTAAATAACAACAAAAGTACAGCACGTCCATTCTTAACTGTTCTTGCTGTTTTAGAAAAGTCAAGTCACCCTTAAGTCCAGTTGGACTCCTGATTGCTTGACTTGCAATCCATACAATTTCCACGCATGTTTTCTCAGCTTCTCAGTCTAGCTACAGTTCTGAGATTCCTTTGTGGTCTCCCAGCCAAGTATTAACCATGTACTGTACTTGGCTGACCATCCTGAGCTTCTAAAGTCAATTTATTTTAAGTAACACTGCACGTGGCCACAAGGGGGTGGTAAAGTAACACATACTGTACAGCACTGCTTCTCAATCTTGGCAACTTTAAGATGTGTGGACTTCAACTCCCAGAATTCCCAAGCCAGCATGCTGTTGTTCTAGCCCAGCAGCTGTCTACTGAAATAAATTCCCTGATTTGTAATAAAGGCATAATGCTCAATTCCATGTTTGATACACATAGGCAAAAGAGGAAGAGAAAGTAAAAGAGAATGAACGGAAAGGAAAATAAGTTTTAGATGCCTGTTCTTTTATGAAGTGGCCAAAAAGGGAATTTTTCAACCTGAGATTAGATGGAGACTAGGAGAAAGTAAATCCACTTTTTGAGTTCATGTTACTGAGGAATTATACTAAAAGCACAATAAACTTTTTGCCAAAACGGGATGCAGGCTGAACATTGGATGGGGGCTTATGAACAACAAGTTGGTAAGAATTTTTAATTTTAATTTAGGGTGCCTGGGCACCCTTTGGAGACGACCACTCCTCACAGACACTGGGTTGCCGTGTCTTGCTTTCAGACAGAAGATTGTGCAGTAATTTTTAGTACGAATAAGAGTCGGTCTTGGCTTACCCATTCTTATTCACTTCTGCATTGACCTGCCAATGTGATAAGGTGTCAAGGACAGGGAGCCACAGAACGCCGATTTTTCATGAGAGGTATTAATAAGGGCCCTGAGAGATAGGCAGCCACCAACCTCACGCCTCTCCTTGAAGCAATTATTTATTTATTTGTTTGTTGGTGAGATGTATATCTCTCTTCTTTTGTTCAGGAGCTCTAGGTGACATACACAGGGCTCTCTCCTCCCTTTTTCCCTACAACAGTGACAGGTGTAAGTTGCAGCAACCCAGATTTTATTTAAATCTAAGGAAAAACTTCCAGTGGTAAGATCTCTACAATTCTGGAACAATCTACCTACAGAGCTCATGAGCAGGGAGGGTTTTAAGAAGAGGATGGAGCTCCTCTCTTGGATGGCTTAATTGGGCTTCCTGCACATTGCAGAGCATTGGAACAGATGATCCTTGAGGTCCCTTCCAACTGTCTTGGTCTATGATGCGGTGAGTTAGGTTGGCTAAGAGGGACTGGCCCAAACTCACCCAGGGAGATCCCGTAGCTGAGGGGGGACTAGCACTGGGTCTCTCCACTCCTAGTCGAGATCCTTCTCCACTGCATCTGATTGGTTCTTGGGCTGAGAGGGAGGGACTGACTTGGGATCCCCCCAGGGAGCTTCTGGGGCTCAATCTCAATCTGTCTCATGCCAGTCCAAGGTGTTCCCTACTACACTACATGCCTATGAATTGCTTGGTTTAGCTTTAAGGGCAGAGTTAGTAATCAAGGTGCTGGAAGAGAGAAAGTCTATAACAATTATGCATGCTTACCAATCCAAATAAGGTAAGCTGAATTAATAAATGTGCACAGCTGAGTAAAGAGGATTTGTGGAATTAAATTCTCTACTCCTGATACTGGTTTGATTTGCAATGCTGGTTTTCAAGGTTCAAAGGCTAATTTGTCTATTGCATATGAACTGAGCCCAAAGGATTATTGATTGCAGAGCAGGATCTGAACATCCCCCTTGTTGGATACATTATTCTCATCCATCAAATGTGAGCAGAGTAAAGAACAGATCATTTAATGTCTAACTTTCCATCTTCTGCTATATTGTGCACATAAAAAGGTTAAAGCTAGAAGGTCACTCCCTTTGGGATGGTCCATGCTAATTACCCATAGTACAATGGATTATTGGATTATTGAGTTATGACCGCTCATTCAGCGACCATTCAAAATTACAACAGTGCTGAACAAGGGGGGGTTATGACAGGTCGGTGAAGTTGCAGCTGTCGCAGCATCCCCATGGTCATGTGATCGCAATCCGGGCACTCGGATGCCTAGCTCGCAGTTACAACATTCCAGCGAGCCGCAGTCACATGATTGCCATTTGCAACCTTCCCTGCCAGCAAAATAAAGATTTTCCTTTATGCTGTATCTGCTAAAGCTGTTCTCAAACTCACCAATGGGCTCTGGTGTGTATCCATCTGAGTTCTGAGATGTGAATCTTCGAGCAGCCTAGGAAATTCAGGGCAGAGTTTACACATTTAGGAAATTCAGGCCAGAAGATACACATCTATAACCACTCAGTAGCACCCTAACTCTGCAAATAAAAAGAGAGAAAGGGATCTGCCTAAAGCTAACAAGGAGCTGCATGTATGTATTAGGATTTAAAACCTGCTCCAATTTTATCTCTTTCTGCATCCTTTCCAACACTTACCATAGAATGATTTCAATAGGATTTTCCAGGCAGGATTATATGGCAGCTGTAGGATATAGGGCTCATCAGAACAACAGACCACTAACAATATCTTGCCCATTCCCTCCCCAACCCACCCCCCAGTTTTCTGTTCTCTGCACGCCACTAAACTCCCACTGAAGAAACAGGCTTGGAGTTTGGGGCTGCAACTGGACCCAAGGTTGTTGTTAAGACCTGGAACCCTTATCGCTATGAGCATCACTCATCAGCTTAGGCCAGTGTATTAGCTGCACCCATCTGGCCATCCTAATTCATGTATTCGTAACCTCAAGACTGAATTACTTAACACTGTGGCTGCAGGTACCTCCCCCGCTTCCTGACAAACTCTCGCCCTGTTCTACTTTTCTTTTCTAAAGATGATTTTAACATTAAACATTAAAATAGTAAATAGCTACAATCCAGGGCTTTGTTTCTGCATTCCCTGCTCAGGAAAAAAAGAAAATATAAATTGGGGTGGTAGAATGGAACAAAGCAAGTCAATCCTTTACCTTCTGGCTAGCCACTGGGTCAGCCATTTTGTGAAGGAGGAAGCCTTCTCTGCCACGGCGACCACTACCTTTCAGCTCTCACCATGCTCTCAGACGTACCTACTAGCCCTCCACAGTTGGCAGCTTCTGGATTACTGTAATCAACCCCTGTGGTAGGACTGATCCCAGCCTAACAATTAGCCAGGAGAAAGTTTACCATACCTGTGCCACAGAACTCAAAAAGACCACTAGATGGCCCCAGATATAGGAAACGCTAATTCTTTGCTGCCCTCTGGAGTGTGCAGCCCAGGTGTTGGTAGCCCTAGCCAGTTACCTGACAGGGGTATCTTGCCCAGCACATATTGCACCAAGGCTACAAGATGAGCACTAGCTGCACTCTGCTCTCCAATGCAAGACAAAATTATAAAGAACCTTGAAAGATTCCTTGAAATTTTTCAGTTACACCAGCCTTCTATGGCAACCTTACTCCTTTGGAAAGGCCCAGTTCTCTGTCCCATAGTAACAAATGCTGCTCAGTGGCAACAGGCTGGCAAAGCTTTCTACTTGAGGGAATGCCCTCCACTCTGTAGACCCAGCACAGACTTGTCTCAGGGGATGTTCTAAAAAAACCTCACTTTGTTACTTCTTCCCCTATCATTACTCTCCCTGACTTCTATCTTTGGAGATGATTTTTTTTAGGTTGTTTTATGATAGCTGTAAACCCATTTGTGAGCAATATGGATGAGAAGTGATCCATAAATGCATGTACTGAGCAAATAAAGACCATTGGCATACTCACCAGTGTAGATGGATGTGCTGGTGGCGTTGGAGTGGCAGCTGCAGGAAAGTAGGAAGGAAAGGAATAATAGAGAAATTTGTATTGTCGAAGGCTTTCACGGCCGGCATACAATGGCTGGTGTGGGTCTTCCGGGCTGTGTGGCCGTGT